ATTTTTATTTAAAAAATCAGTCAAAAAATAAATATCGCTCCTTCCCCCTCGTGATATTTCGTGATTTTTTTGTCAAACCCCTTCTCCCCCAAAAACCCTCACGTGATTAATGGACGCCCCTTTATTAGTTAATTTACCATTATGACTGATACTTTGGAACAATTTTGCGATTCTACCTGATTCAGTTTTTTCCTATTAAAAACCAGAAGTTTTATAGAAACAGTATAATGAATATATTAATAATACATTACAGAATCAAGTTATTTAGTTCCAGAAAAAGTTTCAGATTTTCTAATAAAAATCCACTTTTACTTAGTTGACAATCTTATAGAATTAAAATTAAAGTTTAAATGCTGCATGTATTTAAACAAATGATTTAAATAATTCTTTGTGTTCAAGTTTATACTGAACAGTTAATTTACCATTATGACTGATACTTTGGAACAATTTTGCGATTCTACCTTAGTCAGTTTTTTCCTATTAAAAACCAGAAGTTTTATAGAAGCAGGGTAATGAAGATAATGTCATGGATCAAAATGGGTAATACATTGCAGAATAAAGTTATTTAGTTCCATAAAAAACGTTTCAGATTACAGACTAAAGTATTTCATAAAAAATGTTTTTGATTTTCTAATAAAAATCCGCATTTGCTTAGTTGCCAACCTGATAGAATTCAAATTAAAATTTAAATGCTCTATATATTAAAAGAAATTATTTAAATAATTCTTTGTGTTCAAGTTTATACTTCACAATTAATTTACCATTATGACTGATACATTGGTACAATACTACGATTTCCACAAGTACTACCGTCTTATGTAGTCAGTGCACATAACCAATTATCGAATGAAATCCTTAAGGGGTGTCAGGCCAAGTCTCAAGTTCCCATAATCCTCCCTAGGCGGATCGCCCCGTGAATTACGAACGACGTAACCGGCATCGAACTTATGTATTTTTTCCCGACTCACGGGAAACATGATTTAGCAACCACTCGCAATGATACTAAGACTGATTGAAAATATATCGAAATAGTAGAGCAGTGAACGTTTTGCACATATGCTGCAAATCTTACGGAAATGGACGTTTAGTACTGCCAAATGTATTTGTGCTGCATAGTGAATAACAGATCATAGATTGTTATAATTTTTAATTCCTTCAATAGATTAGTATTAAACGGTCGTTCGCTCATTTATCGGTTTATTATTTCCGGCCCAGAATAGTGAATTAACAGAAAAAAAGTGACAAAGCACATTGCACAATGGGTTGTTTCTGTAAACTTTCTAGATTCTTTACGCTTAATTAACAAACTATATGGCGACGTAAGGTTCACTTAATTGCTTAATTAAGATGACTATAAAGCGTTTGCAGTTTCGAGTTGTAAACATTAATTTAACAGCCGTTACGCGTCGAGGTTTTTTCCCTAGTTGCAAATGCCAGACTAGAAAATCATTATATTATAAATGCGGATGCGTTGTTAGCGCATTATAAATCAGAATGAAAGGCTTAAATATAATGTTTCAATATTTTATAGTAATACTGATTTTTTTATAAAGTTAGTATTGTTTTATAGTTATGTTCTAGATAAGAAATGCAATTCAATCTACTGCAAATAAGTAAAATTGCATATTTGAAGCCCACCATTGGTTGTTTATTCTAGCATCAAATTTTGGAAAACTCATTAATTTTCTATACGTTAATAGTTTTTTTTAAGTAAAACTTCTTTAAGCGAGACTAGGGAGTAAATTTGTGAAAATGCAACGGAAGGCCGTTACGCCAGAACTTTTTGTCATTCGCTCTATGATATCATTTCTATACGGACCAATTGTGATTGGTTGTCGTATCGCGTGAATATGATAGCTTTGATTGTATGCGTCGTATGTCACTCTCTATTTTATTTACAACTGTCCAAAAAATCGAAAATGAAAATTTTCACATTCTAAATGTGTATGAACATTTTCGCATTTCTTAGAAAAAATTGATGTGTGCATTAGGGTGGTCCTTAATATGGACATTTTCGAAACTCTTTGCTCCCAAGGACTCAAATGATTCCAAATTGATAAAAAAAACAATTCTCTCAAAGTTTTAGCTCTTAATATGAACTTTTAGATAGTGCGCAATTCAATAAAACTTTGTATGGAAAAAGCATGGTAAAATTTTTGAAAACTAAAAGAAAAATTTTTAGGTATAACTTAGCCTCAAATAAATTAAAAGTGAAAATTCGTGTCATTTTTATTGAAAATTCGACGCTCTGCAAAATTTTTGAAAATTTTTCCATGTAATTTTCATACAAATCTTTGAATGAATTGCGAAAAGATCTATCTATCGAAAAGATAATATTAAGAGCTGAAACTTTCAGAGAATTGTTTTTTATCAATTTGGAACAATTTAAGCCCTTGGGAGCAAGGAAACTCGAAAATGTCCATATTAAGGACCACCCTAGTATGAATGTTTTTATACGTGGATCAAATTTTTCGTTACGATTTTGAGTGCACGGATCAACGGATTTGAAGGATTCAAAAAGCTTTGGATTCAAATTTTCTGCAAAAATTGCATAAAATGGAATTTAGTTAGGAAAGAACAACAATAAGACAAGTATACAGGTAGGCAGGTAAACAGGGGGATAGGTAGACTAGTAAACCTGGTGGATAAATATATGGGAAAATATGGGGATATAAAGGCAGGTAGAAAAGTAAGAGTTTGCAGGCAGTTGATAGGTAGACCAGGTGAACAGGCAGATAAGCAGAGGGGTAGATCATATAAAAATAAAATAATTTATTAAATTAATTATGCCACTTACACCTAGTTAAGTATCTAATAGCATTTTATCAATATCTTATTTCTACGATTCTAGAAGCATATATAATATATGAAATTACAAAAAAAATCATCAGGGTTGTTCAAATATAACCTCTTATCTTTTACCATGTATCTATAAATAATAATAAATTATTTATATCAACCGAACGCAATGAATCAAGCTCAGGGCGGTTCGTGGCGCTGGAAATTGTAAATAAAACTTGCAGGAAGTCGTTAGTGGTTACTCATTGCTTATACTTCAGCTTATATATCTATAACTCCTCACTGCACCCAATAAATCGAATTTAACGACCGACCAGTAAAGGCTTCGGCTTGACTTTCGCGTTCTTGCTAAAGTCTAAACGTGCAGTTCGACGTCATAATCGTAACTTCTTATTACCGGGATATCATTTTCAAGGGAGTTTGCAACCCTGTACTTGAGCTGGAATAAATTATGGCTGCGAAGGACTCGATCTAAAGGGTGAATAGTGATGTATCAGATATCAGATGCCTTGAAGCGTTCGCTATATGTCTACTGATTTTATCTGATTTTGAATGTAAATGTGCTAGATTTTGAATTGAAAAATTGGAACATGGAAATTTGATTTCTGTTCTATTGTATCTATTAATAACTGATATATTTATTTACTTCTAGAAAATCATTTATCTGTCTACTGGTATTGCACGTGTCTCATTACATAGACTGGGCGTCCTTGAACAACACAGTCACGAATGTGAATGATTGGACATAGTACATGTTACTAACATGCTTTTAAATCATTTGTGTTTATTTGATTTTAATATTATTATGTAAGCAAGTGAGAGATATAAAAACATATACAAATTTGGAGAAGTGATCCTTTGTTTTGATGGAAACTTAAAAAAATATATTTGACACCACTTGTATTCTTAACCAATTGACTGGATTGGCATTCGATTTGGACATTTTAAGTACTACCAGAAATTTGCTGAAGTTCCATATGGAAGAGTTGTAAATATTGAAACAAATTACTGGTGCATTTAATTTTAATTATTATTATGATTTGTAATTACTATTATTTTTTATTTTTCTATATTATTTCAATTATAGTTTCTTTCTTATATCAGCTTTGTGACTCGGTCATTTTGACTCTTATTGTATAATAAAAAAAAAAAAAAAATTGGTGGTGCATGGCATCGTGCCTTCAGGCAAATTGCTTTTACTTCTCGTACCGTAACTGAAAGTACATATAGATATTAAACGTACATAATAAAGATTAAAATTATTCACAGTATGAAAATCATATCATAACTAACAAAATACAATCATATTAATATTATTACAATTACAATTATATCAATCTTCAAACTCGATTTCAAAGTGCGTTTCATTAATGTTTTTTACTCTTGGTATTTAAATAACAATATTAATTAACTTATTTATTTACATTGGAACAACTTGTATTTGTTTGAGTTGCTCAGACTGACCATTATTACATCCATTAACACACTACAGACTACATGGTATGCAATGTTTTTGAAAATTAAATTCATACCAATTAGTTAAGTATATATAATTAATTAGTCAATATTAATATTAGTCATTGGTAGTTTTGAATTATGTGTTTAGCTAAATAATTTAATTATACTGAAATATGTTGATGTAGTAATAATGGATGCACTTATACATGTGCTTAAACTAATGTGTGCTCATGTAAATTTTAGCTGTTGTTTTCAAAAAGTCGTTTATTCACAAGCCTGGGTAATATTTCTTTGTCGCTTTGTTTCTATTGTATATTATGACATGTGTAGCTGGAATATGGTACAGAAAATAATGGCAGTTGATAAAAACTTAGCAAAACTCGTATATATGAAAATAATATATAGTCAGAGAATATTTGTGCACATCTTGATGTTTAAGCACATATATGCAGCTCATTTGAATTGTTTTAGAGTTTTCTTGTTTTAAGTATTCAATACCATCTGAAATGGTGCAATGTGATTTTATGACTACGATGAATTTTATGTTATTTCTATCATATTATTACTGTTACTACTTACAACAAAATAATTAGGTCCAGTTCCAAGCGTAGATTTTTTTTTGCATCTATCGTCATGCAATGAAGTTATGATACTGCAAAATAGAGCTATAGCAATTTTTATAGTTTTTGCATCCACGTAAATTTGAATTGCATGAATAATTGATTTATTTTTTTTATTTACAGGGTCGGATCAGCGCCACACCTGCGATACAGTTACAGGAGAATGGAGGGGTAAGTTTTGATCAACTTCCTATTATATTAATGAAATTTTAGATAATTTTATAAGTCAAATTCGGCTTAAACTTCTACCGAATTAGGAATATTTGTGAGTGCGTAGGATTTGTGAGGCTATCAAATAAACTAATAAGATAAATTAATTTAACTTAGACTTGTTTTTTAAATATTGTTGAAATTCCTTCATCACGACGAAGAATTTTTTTATGAAAATTATATGAATGATTCATCAATAGATCTTTTGATCTTTAATTTAATCATTTCATCATTTTTTACGAGTGTCACTTTTATACAACATCCACTTCATTCTTCAATTACAATCTTCATTACCTGTGTCGCCTTTAGACGACACATAGTATGACTACCTCTGCTCCAAGATTTATATCTATGAGTTCAACTATTGAAAATTCGAATTTTTAACTGTAATTTGTAGTTATGTAGAAGAGCAATTCAATTTTTAAATACATTCTCATTGGTAAAAATTAAATCATATGTTATATCTGGTCCGTTCAGTAACACTACTAGGGCACACTCTGTTCCGTATAGCAGCGTCATTCTAAAAAGTCTCTTTTTTTAGCAAAGGAGTTAATAACTATTATATACCATTTAATTTTTCTTTTAGTTTTCAATATTTTGTTTAGTTTTTCCACGATTTGCTATTTACAATTAATAATGAGTAGGAAGTAGTAAGCGCTGTATGAAAGTATAATTTTAATGCGTCTGAATATTACTTTTTTATTTTCCATGTTTTATTTTTATGCAATTAAAAGTATCGGTTTCTTTCATTTGTAAAAGTCAATCATCATTATCGATCTATTTTCATCTGCCAACAGATTGCCTTTTCAATTGACTCTAAAGTGACATAAGCTGTCATATGATATATTTATTTACCTTGTAATATCTTCATTACAACTTATCAAGTCATGTAATTGATATTAACGCATTGCTTCACAAACAAGTAAACAATCAATATTTAATCCAAATAAAACATTTAACATTAAAATATCATAATTGTAAAAGTCAATTAGTGCAAAAATCTTTGTCATCAGTTCCTTAGGCGTTTCCTATTACGAGATGGCATTTAACGGTTGTTGCTCTTGCAAAAACAACATATGTACGATGCTCGTGAGATTGAGAATGTGATGCAGTGGAATTATCTTTTTGTGCCAATTACGAGATATGAATAAATGTAGGGTAAATAACAGACCTTTAAATGAAATGTGTATTCATGATACATTAATGCGTATTTTCATTCCTTTAAAATTTAAAATGCAATGTAGATCGTAATTCCAGATTAAATTGTGAAAGGAAGAGTACAAATACGAATAGTGTTTTCTGAGGTTCTCGTCATTTTTATTGTCTTGTTTATAAAAGATTTAGTAGCCTATCCAAGAACACTAACTTTTTTATATTTATTTAAAATCAATCAAAAATTCTACAATTTTTATAAACTATTTGTCAGATTGTAAGATACATAAAACATGTCAATAAGGATCATGTATACTCTCATATATATAACGCAGGCACATAATCATACATTTTTTTAAAATTTTATTTTCTTATTTTTGAATTATAATACATTTTGTACATCTTGTTTATTCATATCATATTTTTTCATATCATTAATTCAATTATTCAATCATAAAAGTAAAAAGAGATTTACAAATGAAGAAAAATAAATACAAATTATATCATAATTTTTTGGGCAATTTCTTTCGAAGAAGACCTTCAAAATGGCGTATAAATTATTCAAATACAAGGATGTTAGTCGAATATGTATGGCAATGCGCCCACACCCTTGCGCGTCGTGATTATTATGTACTTGACTGGCAGACCCTTGCAATCGTCAGAATGGGCTGGCTTTTTAATATGCTTTCTGAACAGTTAAAAGAATACACCCTCAAAATTTGAGCCTTGTGGGAGAAAGTTATGAAAAAATTTTTTTTGACATTTTCACAAATTGAAGGGATGATGACGCAATCGCGGAATGACTGCCAGAATGGTACTTTCTTAATGGGTCGATAATAAAATATCCTTAAAAAAAATTTCTAGCTCTGTGAAAACAGGTTAGTCAAATAGTTCACTGGCTCTTAGACTATTAGAATAAATCAGAAAAAATAATATATACTTTAATGGGATGATCTTCAATTTGTGAGAGCAGTCTTAATTGATCTATGTGTCTATTATTTTTGATCTTCAATTTGTGATTCTTTGTACTCTTTAGTATATTTATAGAGATTTGTCTCATATAATGTACATATATAAAATTGTTTGTATACACATTTACATAATATATGGCTTTTATTCGGATTGCATGTGCATTGCTCTCCATTCCAACGTATTTGCATCTTCTGTAGCGGAAATGTCAACTTATTACTTGGCGTCGGATTATTCAAGGAATGATATCGGAAACGATTTCTTACATTTATATTTAGACATTTATGTGATATTAATATCATCATTATGGTATTTGAAATTTTATGTGAAATTTGCAAAATTAATCTAATTTAATAAACAATACCAAAACGATATAAATCGATGAGTCTGAGCATAATTTTCTTGAGATTTTTCAATTGTTCTTCAATTTTTCTCCAATTTTAGGCTCACCTGTCCTTGACACGGTGTTAAATACGAATACTCGGTGATATATGGGATTTAAACAATATTCTTGAAGTTATAGCTAATAATATGGATGGTGCTTTATTGTATTAATTAATTAAATCAGTAGTTGCAAATGCCATAGCATGAACCACATTATCTCTATTCAGGAACATTCTGCGGTTATTGCAATGCTAGTAAATATTAATAAATATCAGTAAATGAGAATTAATTGTTGTTTACAATGTTTCCACATTAATAATTAGTGTATTAATTAAACTAATAACTACATTGATCCAAATTAATGCACCATATTATTTGTTTTAAATAAATCAGTAAAAAGTATTACTTTCCTTTACAATTTTTCTACTTATATTTTTCACTTCTTCGATCTAAAATCCTGGAAGTAATCTCTCTTTAATGCCTGCCTGAGGATATTGGAAAGTTGATAACAGTCTCTTAATATCCACATATCCATGCAAGTAATAGCGTATTTAAGATAATTTTATCCAGTAATAACAAACATAATATCCTATTTTCTTTGTTTGACTTTTTCAAGAGCCCCTTGAGCGTTTTGTTCTGTAAAAGACGGTATCTACTTGGATGTTTTTTATATGGCGTTAAAAAGCATATTAAATCATTTTAAATCGTGCGATAATATAATACTATTTTTCTTCAAGATGTACTATATTGAGAAATGTTAAAATAGATTTTTTTCAATCAGTATGCTTGTGCAATGTTCACTATTTTCCATGTTTTTAATATGTAGCATTGGGTACAGAAAAGAACCTCAGGTTTACTCTTCTTGGATGCGGTTCTTTCTTAGTTTTACTATTCTATACCATACTCAATTGATTTTATATGAAAATAAAAATTAATTGAAATTTGAAAAATATGCCGTCTAGTATTCCTTATCAATGTCTCTGTAGCTCAGCCAGTTTAGGCGCTTACTCCTAGTTTTTACACTCAGATTCATAAAATGTAAGAAAATTCTTTCATATAGATTACTTTCTTACCTGGTATATATGAAGTATCCCAGCATTTTAGTTGCCAAAGTAATTAATTTACCAATTACTTAAAAATATTTCAAATCCATCGATCAATGCGTAAGTATTACCGAATGTGGCATTGATGGATTTCAATAGGAGCCCAGTAATTAAGAAATGGCGTTTGTTGCGCAATATGTATATAAGTACAAATTGACCTCTGGACCTTAAAAAATAAATGAGCTTCTACGAAGTGCCAGCAAGCACCAGCACGAATTGTTTAGAAAGTCTGATTAGAACGCACGTATGTGTATTAAACTCTAAACCATTATATAATAGTTAGGATCGTAAATTACAGATGAGCAGTCTCCAAAATTGGAGATTAGTACCAAAGTTGATGATATGTTCTTCTAATTAAAATTACCTAATTTGATTTGTAATTGGAGTTCATCATATAAGTTAAGGTGCAATGCAAGGTATGCTTTCATAAGCACAATATTCACTTTTAATTTTTCAATCATTTCTGCTAGATTTTCTGGTGTATCCATGCGTATGGTACCTATATTTGATTTATATTGGACTTGTACAAGTAAAATTTTTTTTTCGCAAAAATTCCAATTTGGTGCATTTTCTTTTCAGTCACTTTATTATCACATGTGCATAGAATTTTAACACATTACATCCTACAGTCCTACTTTCACATGAAGTCTCGATGTCGGCACATTTACTATCACTTTCAATTGCTTTGGCGAAACAATCGTTTTAGATGCAGTTTTAAGACAAATTCCGCTTTTGAGAGAATATTAATTAAAGTCTGAACTTAAATTGCTATCTGAGAGTCTAAAATTAAATTTCCTTTCGGATGCCGGCGCTCCGGATGCAAAATAATACGATTTTGTCTGCAAAATTTGCGATGGAAAGGGTTATTGTTTGCAATTGCGAGTGGAAATTTAATTTGCAGTAATCATTCAATTATTGTAATGGACATGGTATTCTTGATTCACTTTTAATTTTTCAATCATTTCTGCTAGATTTTCTGGTGTATCCATGCGTATGGTACCTATATTTGATTTATATTGGACTTGTACAAGTAAAATTTTTTTTTCGCAAAAATTCCAATTTGGTGCATTTTCTTTTCAGTCACTTTATTATCACATGTGCATAGAATTTTAACACATTACATCCTACAGTCCTACTTTCACATGAAGTCTCGATGTCGGCACATTTACTATCACTTTCAATTGCTTTGGCGAAACAATCGTTTTAGATGCAGTTTTAAGACAAATTCCGCTTTTGAGAGAATATTAATTAAAGTCTGAACTTAAATTGCTATCTGAGAGTCTAAAAGCGAAATTAACCCTTTCCACTCGGATGCCGGCGCTCCGGATGCAAAATAATACGTATTTTGTCTGC